GAGAGGTTATGTCTTAGTGTGAAGTGAAAATGTTAAACAGATTATGTGAAGTCCAAAGGTTAAACATTAATAATATTTTTATGAGTTGTGAATATACTGATTTTATTCTTAAAATCAACAAAATACTCATTTGGTGTAATTTACTGGAAAAAGACTCAATTTAACCCATCATTTATTAATGCACAATATTGGACACATTATTCAAACATGTTGGCAAAAGGAGATCTGAGGCACTCAGGAGATACTCATGAGCCCTGACGAAGGCCCTGTGGGCTGAAACGCATCGGCATTTATGTTTTTAACTATTTAAGCCATGTACTAATAAAGGCTTTTTATTTTGTATCTCCTGAGTGCCTCAGATCTCCTTTTGCCAACATTGATGTGGATCCCTTGGCTGAAGAGCACCAGTGAGAGCACCAGATAAAATGTCTTACACCCCTGCAGCACTTCCAGCATTTTTTCTATTTAAATTATTCAAACACTTTGGATTTAAACAAATTGATCATTCAACAAAATATGATTATATAAAGTTTTGAAGTAATTTATGTCAGCGAAGATAGACTTTATTCATTGAGTAAAAGATAAGAAGTCCTGGTCTTGCAGCCTTGATGACTCATGATGCTTGTGAGATTTGTTGAAAATATTGGCTCAAGTTCACATCTTCATATCAGCACCAAGGTGTCAGACTGACCTGTATGAATGACCAAGATGGAACCACGCATGGCTGCCCTGGTGATTTGGTGCACTATGTTTTGTCTGTTTTTGTGAACGGACTCCTACACCCGTGAAGTTCTCCTAAACATCAGGACAACCACTCCTGCTGATCAACTGCCAGTTTTTTTTAGCTCCTGCAGTGGATTTTGTTAATTTTTTGCAAAAGGAGTGAGATGCCGGCGACGGAGAAAGCGGGTAGGGGTCCTGCTGTGCCTTCAGAGACGTGGTGCTCGGACACCCCTTCCTGGGGTTTTCCTTTCTTACATTCTCTCACTCTGAAACAAGATGGGCGAACTAGCACTGTTGATGAGGAGGAACAGGGACTTTTCAACCTCTTGTGTCTGGTGCTTCACGGAGACGTGGCTCAATGAGCGTATCCCAGACTGCATACTCCACCTGGAGGGATTCCAGCTACTTCATGCAGACAGACAACAGGAACTCTCAGGAGGAAAAACAAGAGGTGGAGTTGTCTGCTTCTACATCAACAATGCCTGGTGCACGGATGTGACTGATCTCCCAACACTGCTTTCCCTTAGTGGAATATACCTTCATAAACTGTAAGCGTTTCTATTCCCCACATGAGTTTGCTTCATTCATTATGGCCATGGCCTACATCCCACCATGCGCGGACCCGCACAAAGCTCAGCGCTTTATTGCGGATCAGATACTGAATGTTGAGTGAACTTTTCCAGACTCTTTATTGGTCATCCTGGGATATTTTAACAAAGGTAATCTGTCCCAAGAGCTACCAAAGTACAAACAGTTTATTAAATGGCCAACGAGAGAGCAAAGGACGCTGGATCATTGTTACACGACAGTTTGTGTAGCCTATAGAGTGGTGCCACGAGCAGCTTTAGGACTCTCTGACCACGTCATGGTTCATCTCATCCCTGCATATAGACAATGGCTGAAACTCTCCAAACCCACTGTGAGGACTTCTAAGAAGTGGACCAGTTGTGCACATGCTTAGAGTCTACAAACTGGGAGATCTTTAAGGCTGCTGCAGGAGGTTTGGATGAATACACAGAAACTGCGACGTCGTATATTCAGTTCTGCGAAAACATCATCATCCCATCATACACCAAAGTGACTTTTAATAATGATAAACCCTGGTTCATATTTTTGTACTTGTACATATAATTTATCATTTATTACCTGCTATGTGTTTTTTTATGTGTGATCGTGTTGCACCTTATCACCGAAACAAGTTTCTAGTCAGTGACCTGTGTTCAATGACAATGGCAAAAAAATATCTTCTGATTCAGATTCTGATGAAGATGTTCTAAATAGCATCAAGGCTGCAGCGAGCGTGTACTGTAGCTGAGCTGCCTCTGTCGGATCCGAAAAATCTGTAGTCCAAATAAAAAAAATTCAACGAATCATCAAAGGTCCAACTGATTCCACAAAATCCTGCATAGACATTAGAGAGTAGGCCCCGATCCTACTGGAACTGAGGAAGCACCACACATAAGCCTGTTCACGAATGCTATAACGAAGGCTTCATTAACACTTGTAAGTTGCTTTGGACAAAAGCAAAATACATAAACATAAGCGCCTCTCTTGTAACCAGAGGGTCGTGGGATCGAGTCCTGCTCAGTCTGTTGCAGTCGTCGTGTCCATGGGCAAGACACTTAACCTGCCTTGCCTGCTGGTGATGAATGAAGGAACGGTTGGTGCCTGTGTTTAACAGCCTTGCTTCTTTCAATTTACAGCTGTAGCTACAATGTAGTGCATTACTACCAGCATGTGAATGTGTGTTCGCATGGGGGAATGACTGATAGTGTTGTTAAGCACCTTGGAGGGGTTGTAGAACCCTGGAAGTTGTCATACAAATTCAAGCTATAAGCCATTTGCCATATTGTACCTTTAAGTTTCACTTAACATTTAAAATTATGTTTTAAAGGCACAAGGGGGGAAGTGTACAAGGAGAATAATGCTGATCTTGCATATCACAAGTTCATGGCAGTTATTTCTAACTGTTTTGATAAATGTTTTCCTTTGACTTGATCTGTCAATGAAGCTAAGCAAGCATTTCATAGGGAGTGGTATACATCTGCCTTGAGGAAGCTTTTAAAGAAAAAAAACTATATAAAAAGTATATTTCAAATCCTACTCTGATGAATCATGCTGCGTATAAATTAATCAGAAATAAATACACCAATTCTATTAGTTCTGAAAAAAAACTTTTTTAGCAAGAAATTTTATAAATGTTCAAACGATATAAAATCTACTTGGAAAGTTATTAACAGGATTCTTCAAAGAGACAGAGTTTCATTAGAAATACCATCTGTCTTTGAAGATGGTGAAGTTTCTATGAACAATCCATTTGATATAGCTGAACATTTTCATAATTTTTTGTAGGCATAGGGAAAAAACTAGCTAATGAAATTCCAAGTTGTGAGGGTGATCCTCTGGACTTCATCAAAGGTTCAATCCCATCATCCCATCATCATTTAAACCAATTGATCGGCAGGAAGTAAGTAATATCATTGACCAACTAAAAACATCTGCAGCTGGGCTCGATAACATATCTGTATTACTTATTAAGCAGGTGAAACAATTTGTTTTAGAACCAGTCTTATATATCTTTTCTTTTTCTCTTCAAACAAATTTTGTATCAGATGAACTATAAGTTGTCCCCGTGTTTATAGCAGGAGATCCTTCTAATTTTTCTAACTATAGACCCATTTCTATTTTGTCAGGTTTTCCAAAAGTTCTGGAAAAATAGTTTTTAATAGAATAATTCATCATTTAGATAACAATGCAGTTATAAATGATTACCAATATGGCTTTCATAAAAATCACTCCACCTATATGGCTTTACTCAACCTGATCAACAAAATTTCAACTGCCCTAGAAAACAATGAATTCACTTGCAGTGTTTTTTTAGACTTTTCTAAAGCCTTTGGCACTGTAAATCATAAAATACTTTTAGCTAAATTGCACAAATATGGTTTTAGACATACTACTCACAAATGGTTAACCAGTTACATTTCTAACAGAACCCAGCTAGTTTCAGCTAAAGGATGTTTTTCCCAACAGAGCTAAGCTTGATTGTGGCGTACCACAGGGTTCAATTTTGGGTCTTCTATTGTTCCTTATTTATATAAATGATATATTTAATGTCTCAGTCACACTATCACCAATAATGTTTGCAGATGACACAACTCTAGTGGTATCACATCCAAATTTTGAAATATTGATTGAGAAGGTCAATTATGGACTAGCTGCCTATAACACATGGTTCAAATTGAATAAATTATCTTGAAATATCAGTAAATCTAATTTTGTTATATTTAGTGGAAAAAAGCCAAACAATATAGGCATAAATCAAATTAAAATTGACGCCACTGAACTACCACAAGTTTCATTTGTAACATTTTTGGGAGTTATTGTTGATGAGAAATAAATTGGAAAATGCATGTTTATTATGTTAGTAAAAAAATCAGTAAATCAATCAGTATAATAAGGACAGTGAGCCCTCTTGTCTCTACAAAATGTCTTCTTACATTGTATTATAGTGATCTGGGGTAGCACATTCCCTACTACTCTTAACAGAATTTTACTTCTTCAGAAACGCTTTGTCAGAATAGCAAGTAGATCCGAACTACATGCATCTTCTGTTCCTTTATTTCAGAGGCTAAATATACTGACCATCTATGAATTGAATATTCACCAAATTTGTGTCTTCAAATGGTGAAATACCCAAACAACTCGTAACTTTCTTTAGAGCTAACTCACTCATTCACTCATTCATTCATTCACATAATACACAGCAGTTGATGTGTCTTTACCCCCCAAAATATCTTTCTTGTCTTGGACAATTTTCCATACGTTATAGGGGTTCAATTCTGTGGAACCGTTCTTCTCATCTGGCAACCCGGTGTTCTACTATGGAAGTATTTAAAAAACAGTTAAAAGCCATCTAATAAAGGGAGAGCATGTTTAGTAACTTTTTTTTCTAGTGTTGTATTCTGTTTTAAGGTACTGAAGGTCTGGTGTTTTTTTTTTTTTGTAAAATTTTATGTATTTATCCACTTTTCATTTGCTTGTTTGTGCCTTTATATTTTTGTTTTGTTTTAAACAACTTAGTACTTGCAAATTTTATTAGATTATGAACTTTACATAAGCCGAATTTGGCTTTTTTGCCCCCTCCTGCACTGTATTGTTTTAATATATTTGTTATTCTCATGTTTTTTATGTATATTTTATTGTGCAAACAGATAAATTACAAAATTACAAATCTTCAGATGAAACCCCATCCATGGAGTTTCAGGTGATCTTACCTCCACACAGACACGTAGATGATGATGAGGAGCAGCAGAGTGAGTGAAGACACTCCACAGCCTACAATCAGGGTCACAGATGGAAGTTGCATTTTATCCATGTTCTAGAAGAACAAGAGGACAAAAGAGGCATAAACAGGACACCTGAGGATGAGTCAGCTATTGGTGGTGGAGCAAATCTAAAGCAGAAAATGAAAATATGTGCTAATTGAAAATGTAATCCCTCTGTATTGTTGCAAGAATGATAAACAATTACTAAAACGGTTGAGTTTTGTCACAACACAATGTTTGAAGTGAAAAAAAGTGCCAGTATTCCTTTTAGAAAAAAAAAGTGCGTGTGTGTGCGTGTGTGTGTGTGTGTGTGGGGGGGGGGGGGGGGGGGGGGGGGGGGGGATCACAAAATGATTGTATCATTAATGTCATTTAGGTTCACAATTCAGTAGGCACAGATTAGATGAACAGCCTGTTTAAGCAACGGAAGGAGACTTTTGCAGATGCACTAATCATTTTTACAAAGTCATCAATGATTTCATCTGTGCTCTGCTACTTCTGAACTGTTTTTTATAGCCTGACTACTCTAGTGCTCTTGTGCCATAGATGAGCCTCAGTTTAGAGAAGCTTCACTCAGCAGAAGCAACTGTAACAGGGAGAGCTAGGATTTACTTCTCAGCATTTTCCCTTTTATGACCAGAAATCTATCATACATGCAGATTAATCTCTATCGGCACATACACAGATGGAATTAAGCCAATGGATGTTTTCCTACATACTACTATATACATATACATATATACAGTAATATTAATAATACTATTGGTAACATGGATTGAAAAGCTATGAACAAAAGGCAGCATCAGACAGAGGTGAAGGTTTATGCATTAACAAAACATTTAATAAATGACATTGAGGGCTGCTGTAAAATTACAAAGCCAAATACAGACACAATTACTGAGGAAGTAAATTGTATTTATATAGCACGCATCACAGACATGGAATCACAAAGTCCTTCATATAGATCAAAACAAAGTAAAACAAAGTAATCTTAAAGCAGAAACTGATTAAAATCACAAATTGTTTTATAAAATATCATAAAACAAATTAAAGATGATTACAAATTTGAGTTAAAAATGAGACACTAAAGATTTATGTAAAAGAACCGAAGTGACTCAGAAAGGTGTGATTTCTGGGTTGTGTGAGCGTTATTTTTTACCGTGTCCTGTCTGGCTGTGAAGCAAACAGAATTGATGTCTGAATGCTGGTGACAAGCCTTACAGATTTACTCTCAGGTGGAGCATCAAAGCGTCTGCTTTTAATGTCACGCCTGATACTTAAAACTTTATTGTTATTGTTTTTGGATGCTTTATAATTCTGACCAGACACGGAATCAGAGATGAAGGAGAAAGGAAAAGAAAAAAGGAAGAGGTGGTGTGTGTGTGTGTGTGTGTGTGTGTGTGTGTGTGTGTGTGTGTGTGTGTAAGCTATCACTGCATCAACCTGACGAGAAAATATATAATCAACATTGTTTAACTGAACAATCACAGGATAATAAATCACAGTGCATTTAGTGGCAACGACAGCCTTAAGACATGTGTTGAACGTGCCCAAGCCCATACTTATGAGAGCACCATGTGAGCACCTGTGTGTGTACACGCGCTTGTTTATGTAAGGTTTCTCTACAGGAGCGTCCAATAGAGTGTGAGGGGCCACAGATCTGCCCCCTAAAGATGCATAGGAGACAGATGGAGCTCCAAGTTCCAGAGATCCAGGAGCTTCCCCAGAACGCAGGGACCCCAGGGAGACTGTACCCAGAAAAGCCCCCGTACCCCTCGTGAGGCGCAGAGGATCGCCCCGTGGGGCCACAACCAGCAGCCGGCAGAGTCCCGGGAGATATCAGCGGCAAGCCCACAGACCCGCCTGCAGCCTCCCACCCCCTAGCCATCCATGCCCAGAACCCAGCAACCTAGGACCCAGGAGGCAACCAGCCCTGCTGGGGACTCAACAGAGCCCAGGGACTCCAGGATCAATCAGACAGATGCCAAAAATCTTAAGCCCTCCAACACGGGAGAAGCGAACACACAGGCAAACAGACCAACCGCACTCAGCACCAAATGTGGCAGGGGGAGGGTAGGCAATGATGTGTAGTAGCACAAGAAGTCCCAGGAGAGGGGAGGAGTCTAAGACCCCACCTGACATATACAGTCATACACAGACACAGTCACACACCCCCTCCCTCATGCTCACACATGCACATACACCCAAAGACTTACAAAAATGAATGCTAGACACCCACTCACGCTTCCCATACACACCCTATTCACTCTGGTCCCAGGACTGTTGTACAAAGGGTACAACCATCACCGGTTCCCAGAGTTCACCCCTTTCTGCTGCAGTGATGATGAGCAGGCTCCCCCACCCAACGCCAAGCAAAGCAACCCACCACTCCAGGCCCTAAACAGACAGCCAGCTCCCACTCCTAGCCTCCAGCCCCGGGAAGCCAAGCAACTGCGGAATAGTTCTTGGAGTTCCAACCTGCAAGCAAAGCTGTTCTCGGCAGAGTGAGTGAGGAGTGAGTGAGTGAGTGAGTGAGTGAGTGAGTGAGTGAGTCAGCTTCCATTGCTAGCAGCTAATAGTGTGTTTGCTCTCTCCTTAGTACTTTGGAAAATTTGACTTCCAAGTAGATAAAATCAACAGCTTGAAAATGAACAGCAAAAGGAATGAAGTTACACAGTAAATTTAGCAGCAGAGATGTTGGCTTCAGTGTAATTTGCAGTTTATAAAACTACAAGGACCCACCATCACACAGTTTGTCCAGAGGAGAAAGGAAAGAGGTGTACATGGATCTGAGTTTAGTTTGTGAAACACTTCAATATTGAAATATAAACAGTTGAATGGTATCGAAGTTTGCTTTAGTTTCATTTGTAGTTTATAATACATGGCTTCCTCATCAGAGTTATTCTAGAGGGCATAAAAGAGGAATAGGAGTACATGGAACTGGGTTTTATTTGTATCATTCAGAAACAGTTGTTAAAGGTTTCTTATTGAAGAATTTTGTACGACACTACGATGATAAAATACAGTTTGTATGTTATTTATCATTATATGTATCAAATATGGTTATACAGTGAGAAAAAAACTTAATTAAAAAAGAGAATTAACTAATTATTAAACATTCAAAAGTATGGAAATTGGTACCATTAAGTACGGGTATCAATTCATAGGTACCAGGAACTGGTACCAAATCGATTCAAATATGAAAGGTACCCATCCCTAATCAGGACCAAGCTGAAATCTTTTAAACAGTTTTATTGATGCTTTGTCACCTAGCTGGACACTCGGAAACAAGCATCTGTTCCTGGTCTTAGCTTCAGAGGAAGGTCATATCAAGGTCACATCCAGAAAAACACACACATACACATTTCCTGTTTGGGTTCACCAAAGCAAAACTTTAACAAAAAAGCTGCTGGGTTTTAGTGCAAATATGTTTGCCGGTCTGAGATCAACACTGGTTCATTCCAGTCTTTTGTTTCTGCTTAGCTCCCTGAAAGTCCCACCATCACATTTCTGTTCGTGATGAGCTACAATGTAGCCACAGCTGCCCTGTTATATGACATAGGTGAGGCGTCCATAGACAGGCATCACTTGTCCCTCTGACCACCACCAGCAGGCAAAGCAGGTGAAGTGTCTTGGACAAGGACATAGTGACTGCAGCAGACAGGGCTCGAACCTGCAATTTTGGGGTAGACACTAAACATCGCTTCCACTGAAGAAAAGATTGCTGCTTGAATTTTAGGCCATGTTTCCAACATAATTGTTTGTTTTTGAGAAGAAGCTTGATGTGTATAAGTTAAATCTACCCAGTGAGGATCCTTGTAATCCTGAAACAAAAATGGTTGTGGGTGTAACTATGTAGAGAATTAAATTAATTACACAAGAAATTACATCAACTGACCTGTTCAGCTCTAATGCTGCATTGTATCCAGGCGAATGAAGCACGGCAGAAATGGGGTCTTCTAGGGTAATAAGCTTTACTGTTGTTCACAGGTGGAGGTGGTAGGAGGGGACCTGGACATGAGGGAGCATTAAAACCACCCAGTACCACCAAACCCCATCTAGCAGGAGATAATTGGCTCAGTTTATAGCCTGCCTTGCATCTCAGTTTGATGTGTGTGGAGGCCAAGTTAATTAAATCCTTCTGATTAATCTGCACTGCAGTGGCTTCCATCTGAAGGCAAAGGGGGTAAAAGAAAGATTATGAGTGCAATAGAATGGAAAGGCATCTGCTTAGACACACAAACTCATACTTCCTGCCTTGCTGGTAGACCCACAGCTTGGAAACAAGAGCATTAGCATCCTCATGTCAGTGACCGAAAGTAAAGGAGGATTTATTTCAAGTGCTTCTTCAAACAGACCTGCTGGATTCTATTTCTGAGTATTTTTAGCTCTCCTTACAATCTATGTGAGTAAAGTAGAAACAAAAGGTGTTTATGTTAGCAGGTTGGTAGATTCTGTAAATGATGGATACCAAGGAGTTATCACTGTTTTTGTTTTTTGCATTAGACTTCCTGTTGGTCTATGGTGAAACGTCTTGCCCAACGACAAAACAACGGTGACAAATTGAACAGGGCACAAAACTGCAACCCTGCGGGTATGGGGTGGACTTAACTCCTCTGCCAATGCCGCCCCTTTAGCGGCCAGGAGAGAGCAGGGATGTGTCTCTGCTAGTAGAAGCTAACTATTAGCTCGTTCGAGTTTGTGTTATTGAGATTAAACATGATTGCATTTTTACCCACAAAAGCAGATCAAACAAAGGCAGTGAAAGAGTCCCCCAGATAACTTTTAACCCCTGAAACCAGAGCATTCCATTTTTTTCCCACATGAAGTGACTCCATTGCTCATAGAAACATTCCACATTCCAATACAGTTCAATTCTTTAAGCTAATAAGTAACAAGTTTCTTTTATAACAAAGCTTCCAACTCTCACGCAATGAGAGTGAGACACATGCATTTGACAGTCAAAGTCAGTTCTATTGTCAATTCTGCCAAATGTACAGGACATACAGAGAAATTAAATTACGTTACTCTCAAACTCTCGCTGGATAGAAAA